AGCTCTTTGTATAACTTTTTCGAAGCTTCTAATCAAATGAAAAATCTATCCAAATATTTACTGAATATTTCGTATTGTTTGAGTAGTATTAAATTGTTTTTTTTTCTTTTAAGAAAGAATTTTTTTCGATATTTTATTGAATGATGTGATGGATTCTTTTATTTAGGAAAATCAATTCACTTCAATGTCTACTTTTCAACTAAACCGATGACCTGTCGTCCTGGACAAACCTCTTATTCAAATTGTTCTTCTTTCTTCATAATTAAACGTTTGTAATTTGTGCTACTTACAAGTAATCAAACGAATTCTGTATATTTTTTCTGTGGCTAAAGAAGACAATTTATGCATTATAGTATATGTCATAAGATTACCTATAATAATGATGTTTTTAATTATCGCTTCAGCAGTTAGTATGAAATACCCTGAAGACTAAATCACAGATAAATCAGTAAACTCCATTTATTTATACAGTTCACCAAGTAACATAGCGCTAACTTCCATGATTATATTTTAAAGTACCATTATTAGAAATTGAAAGAGCATTAGTAACGTGGAAGCGACAATCGATGACTAACTGCTTTGACTCAAAAGGAATCTACTACGAAAATTCCGTGTAAACATCAAAATTTGATACAAGTCTCTTGACTAAATTAAATGATTAGTTTCATAAGACTTAAAATGGATTATAAAAATTAGAATATACATAAACTTAAACACATCCATCGTAAAGTCTAGAGCATTTGTAGCTGTGGTGAAATAACATCACTGTATATTTTATTCTTTCGTTGAAGTCACTCCATACAAAATTGCTTCAATTTTTTTCATCCAAGCTAATCGAGAACACGAACTATCGTAAATAAGTAATGTAATCCAGAAGTTTTTACGATGAAATAGTCAAATTAGTACAAACTTGCTATTTTGAACTATGTATAGTAATTTTATAGATATTATGATTTGAGGTTATCAGCGGAAACCTATGATCTGATCACTAATACACATATCAGGACTCAGTAGCTAAGTGGATAACGTGATGGAGTTTGAAGAGAAAGGTATAGGGTTTGAGTCCCAGGGTGAACATCAACTCTGAGATACAGATACATCCAGATGACGGGCCCCAAATAGAACGAAACGCGCGTCCTGGATCCCACTGCTAGCCACTATCCATCTTTGCTCAAAAAGCTTATGACTTAAGGTTGTATCGAGGCAATCCACACAGGATGCACATATACCAACAAGAGACTGATCAATTACAGTTCTAAATAACAAGTAAAAAAACAACACCAAGTAAATTTACACATAATTCATATTTTGAGTTTGAATGTAACTTAAAGACCTGAAAATTGAATTAAACAATTTTAAGCAAACCAGTTGCAATAGGATATCAAATCAAGAGAAATCTAGTGAATATTTTCGTACATGAATAACTTTCTAAAGTGTGAGTGTTATTTTATTGAATAAAATCTCAAATTTTGATATATATTTCAGCAGGGAACATACAATCAGAGTTTATAGTCATCAAATAATTGATATTTCTGCATTGAAAAGTTCTCAAATGTGAATAAGTAGAGCATAAATTTCGATAACAAAATCTCAATCACGTCCATAAATTATCAACCTGTGTAAGCATTTAAATTTTCAACCTCCTTTTGACCTTATCTAATCGGCTGAATGAAAAAACTACTGCGAATGACTGAACTTAAAAAGGAAGTAAGATTAATATTACATCTGAACGAAGCATAAATTAGTGGTAACCGCTAAGAATTATTTATTGACTATTATTACGTAAATTCCTATTGGATAACTTTTAAATAACTAGATTATATGTATATTCATAATCCTCTTATCATAAGCTTTCATTTGATCTATCGTCTACAGTAGTACCATTTACCATCCTTAATTTATTAGCTACAGTCTTCTAAACTCACAATCACTTTTGGCTTGATCCTGTATAAGTATTATTTTCCATTTTATGTTGTTTACAAGTCTGATCGCTCTGTATATAAACCATGTCTGAAATGTACGATTCATATAGTGGACGCTGTTTGTGTTCTGGACTGAACGGGCTACACTAGATAAGAAGTCATTAATACAGAGGACCAATAAGGACATAGAGTTGACTCAAGGCTACTTATGCTGGTTAACACACCACTGGCTTGGCACAATGCCAAGGTCATATAAGTCGGTGCTTTGATTGACGATTTTATCACATGATGTTTGCAGGGTCATAAGTCATAACAATTATAAAAAAATTAGATTTAGACTAATAATTGGTGCTTGAAGAGATACTTTAAGATTAGCGTAATAATGTACTTCAATATAAAATTTGGTAACTAAACAGATTTGGAGCCATTGATTTTTAAGTATCATGAAGTCTTGATAGAATTCAGAAATGTGAAGATATTGACAGGCGAAATACTTTGGATAGTAAAAATTTTGAAATCAAAAGGAAAAGATTCAAAGTGAGTTAGCTTTGAAGGGATTATAGTAAAGTGTAGTTAATTTCTTAGTTTGTAAGCACTTTATGCAGACTTGTGAACAGAAAACTGGAAAATCTAGCCAGTTTCACAAATAAACGTATCGATCAAATACTCACACTTCATCTGATCTTGGAACATAAGTAGACGTACCGACGCTTTGCCATAATAGTAAATGTCCACTTAAAGGCAGCATTCAGCTCCGCCGACCGACAGGTTGAAGGGCAAACTAAGTTCATGTATCTTAAGAAAGAACTTTGCTCAAACACTAATTATGTAGTCAAAGTTTATGGTGAACCGTAAACCTTACGTAGCGTTCGTCAAGGTTGCATACTTCTTCCATCCCTAACTTTGCCATAGAAATTTTTTAGAGATAATTCTCTCATCGTCTGACTATTTAGAGATTAATGCCCGAGCGCGAGACCCACATACTAATTCGCGAAATGGAGATAACACAGCACTGTCTAATCGTGATCCGGACAGAATGTAGTCTCCCGAGCACCTTGAGTAAAAGGGCGATCGTGTCTGGGGTACGTTTCTCAGCCACCAAATGTGAAATGCGACTTCAAAACAGATCTGTGTCATTACCTAGATCGCAGAGAGTGAAATAGTTGATGACATCAACCATTTTACTTATCTTGAAAATCTGTTTAGCCCTGGTGTGTTGGTGTCTAATGCAATCTCAGCACAAATCCGAAAAGCTCGCCTGGCTTTCCCCAACTTGCGTTACTTGTATGGTGGAGACGTCCATCTGTCAACCAAACGATGAGTATCGTCCCACAACAGTTCGCTCTGTATTACTTTATGACTCTGAAACTTGGTCCATGAAAGGAGAAGGTCGCAGGTTATTGATCAGTCTTTAAAGCATTGCTCCTGTCTAGTGGAACGACAAAGTCATCGGTAGTGCGAATACGCATAGGGTATTTAGTAAAAGTGACAAATCAGTTGAAAAAATATTGGTTCTTTGACTGAAGTGGCTGGAACATGTCTCACGTACCACCAACCTTGATAATTAATGTTAACCGACGTAAAAGTAAGTTGACTAGAACGAAACATAACGTCAGTCTATCAAGTAATTGGCTATTGAACCAAGCCGTGTTGGTGGTAGGTGGAAAATACTTTATTGTGATCATCACGATTACTGTACCAATAGTTAGAGACATTAAATGATATATCTCAGATTCGCTCACTTTCTTCTTCTTTTAGATCTTGAGCTTCGAAATTATCTTATACTTTTTTATTCCACAACTTCACTCCTTTTCAGATTAAATTATCCGCATTTAATCTTTCCTACTACCAATGATATTATTGTTTCTTATACTATTCTTAGATTTATTATTAAACTAATATGGTGTGGTAAATTGAACCGATTTGCATATATACCAAATTCTACATTCCTTGTGACTGATTAACTGATTAATTAAAACTCTTCACAAAACCCATTCTGATAATAATCAACTGCTCACTAGTGACTGACTTCAGGAAAAACTCCTGGAGTTCTAGTGAGAAGCCGTTACCAGTGGAGTTCAACCAGGTCTGTTGTGAGATAGTAACTCACTGAAGACAATGGTGTACGGTGGCGCAACTTCGTGGATTGGTTGAAGTTAGACATTAACACCGTTGGATGCCGGCTCAGTGGTCTAGTGATCGCGCGCGAAGCCAGTAGGTCCTGGGTTCGAGCCCCGCGTGGTGCGGGTTCGTGGATGCGCACTGCTGAGGAGTCCCATACTAGGACGAAACGGCCGCCCAGTGCTTCCAGGTTTTCCATGGTGGTCTAGCTTCAATCGACTCATGATTTCAACCTGTGAAATTTCTAAAAACTCTCCACAAAACCCATTCTGAATCATTGTACACAATGTGGTAATTTGACATGATCACATTGATGAACATATATTGTGAGGATATGAAACATTCAGACAAGTGTTTTTAGAAAATATCAAATTCATGAAAATTTTACAACTAAAACGAAGAACAAAAAGCAAAACGACAAACCAAAAGTTTATTTCAACTTTATTCGTAACAAAATATCCCATATCAAGCTTATAATGTATACAACATTAACCAATAAGTTAGAGATTAGAATAACTTCAGAAATATCATATATCACTTTTCATTTTTCTATCTGACTAAATGAAATAATCACAAACAGATTGAATATCAAATGAAAAATAGATGAATATAAAAGATAGTAAAATTATATAAAATCTAACAAACACATAGAAATATGAAGTTGAAGATTACCTAATCCGTTACATATATATAATAAAACAATAATTGAAACATTCTCTAATACCCCTTATAACAAACCTGAAATAATAACGAATAGAAAAGTGGAAGAAAGAGTAAATGTTATCTCATGCATGGAAAAAGAGATCTTGAATAAACTAAATATAGAACTGTACATAATTGTAGAAATATACATTACATTAGATAAAGAAATAACAATTCTAATCTGAAGATTTACTAGAAACATTCACATTGTAACCTGTCTTGTTTTTCTTTTTTTTTTTACAATAAAAAATTTATTTAAGATAAACATCCAGCAACTGCAGCCACTTTACTTGGATTAGATATTTCTTCACCAAGAGAATCTAAAATTTCACGACGATAATCATCAAAATCACCATCTATTTCATTAATTCCAAGATCTTCTATAACCCATAAAATACAATTTGTATCTCGAATTAAACGTTCATCATGACTGACAACAATAACACCTAGAAGAAAAGAAATCATTTAGTAAAGATAAAAATAAGATTTAAATAGTACAAAAAAAGTCACAAGATAACTTTTATTGGAAACTCATTACTATGGTTAATGTGAGCAGGTACTAAGAGTAGATTAATTTTACAATGTAGAATTCTGTTTATTGAGTGATACAAATAGCATTCTAAGATTAAATATACACTAACAAGACAGGAAATAGATCACTAGTATGAAATAAACTGTAATCCAAAGAGCTAAATTGAACATTTGAAATAAAATAGTTTTTCACTATAATCTTTTTATAAATTTGAAATTAATACTACTATTAACTCATTTGCCACATGTACTTGACTTCAAGTGACATTTGAAATGTGAGAGGTAGTGATATATTGGAGATGCTGGATACCTAGAAGTCACTTGGTAAACGTTCCATTTTTGAATTTATTTCTGGATATTTGAATTTCTCATTTTCATTTCAGAAGCGCCCAATTTTACCTTCAGTTTGTATATCCTACCTGTAAGAGCCTCAAATGCCATTGCTTCGTCTCCTCTTTCAGTATCCTATTTTGTGACTTTTTTCAAGGACACTTTCGTACGGTATACATACACAGGAGTTGTGTGCTTGTCATTCTTTCTTCCGGGCTATAGTGGAATAAATATATTTTCTCGGCTGAACCTGGTCTTTTCCCTCTAGTTACCAGGGCTGATGTGTTGCTGACTTTCGTTGAGTTTGCCAGGCCTAGGTGACATCGTAATTCCCTAAAACCAACCGGCTGTCTGAACTGAATTAGGCAGGCCTATAACTTAAAAGCTTAAAGTTGAACGTATTAACCACCGAACTATAAACTCACGGAAGATAAAAACGGGAAAATCTATATTTTTCGTGATAACTCACCTCCTTCAAATTCATTGATAGCATCAGCTAATGCATCAATTGATTCAATATCTAAGTTATTTGTAGGTTCATCTAATATTAAAATATCTGGAGCCCGACGTGATAATTCAGCAAAAGCAACGCGAGCACGTTGTCCACCTGACAGGTCAGCATTAGGAATAGTATGTGCATGAGCTTCTAAACCAAATTTACCCAATGTTGCACGAGCATCCTAAAATTAGAAAACAAATAATATTAAAGTTAGTGACGAATTCAAGTAGTTGTGACCATTAAAACGAACTCAATACCGATAATATTTAGTGTTGTAATTATGCTTAATTAATATTATACAGTTGTAGCTGAAACTTCATAGACATGTTGAAAGAATGAACTACTTCAATATAGAATTAATAAAATCGATTTTATTAAGATTGCTTTTTCCGATATTCATTTATTTCTTAAATACACTATTTTCCGATCTATAAAATGATGGATAATTACACCTAACATGTATTAACATTAAGATGTATTTTCATTCCACAACGTACTGTTGTTACCTGTTTATACAAATTTTCAGTTTAAAGAGGGAAGGAGTGAAAATGAAATTACAACCTGTAGACAAAACAGAAACGTGATTTTTATGAAAACTGAAGAATATATAAAACAGGTTGAAGGAGCTCTATTTTAATCGATGTTGCCACAAAAGAGTTCCACATCATTTTGTGAGAGAGATGACATGACAAGCAAGAATTAGACCTAACAGTTGGGTTTTAATTCAGTGAAAAGTAAGTGACCTAAAGAAATTATTTCTCCAAACACTTATCACATTTAATCACTTAAATATTTTGTACGTAAACATTTTATTTATAGTATAAAAAACACATATTCCACTGGGAAACTGTCTTGTCTTGTGATATCAGTCCAGATAATAGAGAATATTTGTAGCTGACGCCAAGAGTGTTGTAATCTCTGAGTTCAGCTTAGAGACTAACATCCGTAATCTGTTCGATTGGAGACTTATGTCCATAATTCAACCTTGTGAGCAGTCATCATTTGGCCATATTGTACTCAAGCATTTTATTCATCGAACGGGATTCTATTCATTCATTTCAACAACTAAAACTTTTGTTCACTTGTCAAATCCCAGTCTATAATAAATTTATTATCGTTACTCACTGACACGAAGCTAGATGATCTCCAGACTTGTCTGATAAACAAAACTAAAAGATCAGAAAAGCCTTTAAACCAGCTAAAACTAGGTATTTGTAAGCAATACTATTAGTGTGTTCAGTCTTACAATATGATACACATTAATTCTATTATTATTAGTAGTAGTATTATAAGTCGGTGTGTCGATAGTATTTAAAGAATTGAGCAGGTCATATTGTAAAATTTACTTGATAATTTAGATTGAAAAGGCGTTGTAAATATTCAGTTGGTGTTTCACTCAAATTTAATTGATCTGCAGAGTGTTGATCGTACTTGCCAATTTTAACACGATGATTTAACCGACGTTCTCCATCAGTCTAAAGAACGAAACAAAATGAGAAGTGCAATCAAAAACTGTAAAAATGAACAAAATTATACATAATTAAAATATCTCCAAATTACTAAAATTTATGAAAGTAATGTACATACCGGTTGTACTTCACCCGTAAGTAGTTTTAAAAATGTTGATTTTCCAACACCATTGGGACCAACAATTGAAATTCTAGAAGTCATATCTATACCAAAGTTCAATTCTTTAAACAACGGTTTTTGATTTGGATAAGCAAAAGTAACATTGTATAAACCGAGTATAGGAGGAGAAATGGGAGTTGGATTTGGAAACGTGAACTAAAATAAATGTTTGAATAGAATAAAAACTAAAGCAATAGAATTGAGTCGTTTGTTATTTACATATAGAGAATTCTAAATATTTTAAAGAGTATGATATATTATTGTGTTGAAATAAGATGAAAATACACAACAGTTACATATATTTATTTTATTTCATTTAAACACATAAACATTGGTACAAGGAGGCACCAAATATATATGTGCAACACTGCGTCATTCGATTTATGTGAGGGCTGGAATGCTGCCCGGGCGCCCAAACTGAAGCAGGTGGTTTTCTTAGATCGCTACACCTAGAGGTCTAATCTACAAGGCAGTGGGGTCAGAGTTAAGAGATGCAGTCCCATGGTAGCTAGTGACCAACAATAGGTTTATACACCATTTGTTCCGTCAGAATCCTGGAGCCCATGTGCATCAATGGTTTGGAATTAATGTTTCCTAACTCCTCTAGGTGGGGCATCTATATCCACCAACTCGGTTAGAGCCCCGGACATCCGCTTCTCGTCCTCTCAATTTTGTAAACAACACCCCAGCCACGAGAAGGCAATGAATAGGACTTTCCTGGCAGTGGCTGTATACGCGTAGCTATGTGAGAGCATTTCGAGAGGGAGAGCGGACTCTTTCCACTATCGGTCGTACAAGGTCATTTGAAGGTAGTCACATGGAAGTACTGGATTAGTGTGAAAACCATGAAATTAGACTTCTAGTCAAACAATACTTTTATGAGCGATTCAATAATTATGTATCGAGTTATTCAATATTATACAAAGTTGTTAGTTATACTGTTTTTACTTGAAACTAGATAACATTAAATCTAAATAAATGGACCGAATTAGACGTTTCATAAAATCCTTAGATGATTATTATTAATCCAGAGTTTCACAATGAATTTTTTGTGTTTGCAAATGTTATAACAGCATATATATATCGATACAGTAAGAACGTTATTTATAGCAGAATAAAAGGGTTATGATGATCTTAGTACACAAACATAACAGTACCGACCAAGACGAAATTTCATGAGTTACTATACTTTATATATTCCAAAGTAAGATTAAAAAAATACATATTTCACGACAATAACATGAAAATGTGATGAAATAAATCACTAAGATGAAAATTGACGATTTTTTAAAGTAATACTAGGATAGTTCAAAGGTAAACAAATGTAGATAGACGTTGATTTCATCATCTACAGGGATTACTATAGAGGATTAGTGGGAATTTTTGAATTTCATAATTCACATCCTGGACTGATCTTGAAAAAACCATTGAAAGTCAGAAAGCATTGAACAGCTGTTTTCTCCTAGTATCAGACTCCTCACCAGTGCGTATCACTGACTCCACTGAGTTTCAAACTCAGGGCCTTTACTCCGTTTAGTGAGCGGTTAACCTTTATATTAATGAGCCGGATTATTGGTTCTCAATGGTTGTCTAATTAAGATTAATATGTGATGTAAACTATGAATGTAGGTGTATTAGCTAATCATCAAATAATGTGCTCATCAAAATACTAACAGAAATAAATATTTACCTTAACAACATACTCCTTTGGTTTAGATAATAACTGTGGTTTTCCATTATCATTAAGTTCATTAGAAGTTTGCTTATTTTTCGCCTGTTTTCTTGTTAATGCATCACGCTGATTTTTTGCTTGAGCTTGTTTATTACTCATTCCAGATTGTTTTAATTCTTTAAGACGTTTTTCTTGTTTTTCATATTCCTTCAACTGTTCTTTTCTACGTTGGATAAACATACTTTTAAAGTTAACTAAAATAAAATGAATTGTAGAAAAAAAAAGATATTTAAAAATGAAATACCCAAAACAAGTAATTTGTATTAATTCTAAAAATGGAACTACTGAATACCAACTAAGTAGTCTTAGGGTTAATCACTTACCGCGAGGCCTACAGCCACGGAATTTGTTTCCCAGTAGGGTTATGAATCAACACTACTGAGAAGTCTTATAATAAAGAGAAAAGACTAATTAATCGCTTTGGTTTTTTTATTGTTTTACTAACTAAAGTCGATTCGTAACATAAAATTATAAAAGTTGAACTTGAGAAATATTTCCCTTTATAGTTCATTCGTAAAATATAACTCTAATTTAAAATGCATTACAAATGATGATGAGATTTTGTACAAATTAATTTAATAATAACATATGTAACTTAATGGTTAAACAGATAACTGTCTAGATGATTAACCTGTAAGATCATTCACAGGAAATTTTACGTTATAAATGTTCTATCTTTTATTATCTTTGATCTTAACAACTCCAAGTTAATTGAATAAGAGGATGTTAGCAACAAATCTACACTTCGATAGTTCACATTATTTTACTTATACTACTAAATGAAATTCGTAAGATATATTTTAAAAAAAAACTTACTATAATTGCCTCTATAATAGAATAACTGACGTTGGTCTAAATGGATGATATCTGTACAAACATTATCTAAGAATGATTGGTCATGTGAAACAATCAGGAGAGTTTTCTTCCAACTTTGAAGATAACTAAACAAAAAAAAGTAGTATACTGTAAAAGTGAAATTGATACACATCAGTAGCATTCATGTTTTTAAACAGAAACAATTTGTAAAAAATAAATGATTCAATGTTATTGATAACTGATGAAATCAACTCATACAATTTCAATATTATACTTCAAAACATACTTACTTATCTAACCATATAACTGCATTCAAATCTAAATGATTTGTCGGTTCGTCTAGTAGTAAAAGTGTTGGTTCCAAAAATAAAGCTCTAGCCAGACTGACACGCATTCTCCAACCTCCCGATAAATCTTTAGTAGGTCTGTCCATCATATTTTTCGTGAAACCTAGACCAGATAATATACGTCTAGCTTTGCCTTCTGCTGCATCAGCTTTAATCGCAACAAGTTCTTCATAAACCTATACGACAAAAGAAAATCCAGTCAAAAAACTCATTCAGTCCTGAGGAAACACTGCATATACATAGTCGATTATTTTAGTGTAAGTCAATTTTCTGTTGTAAAAATAATTCACTTAACATTAACCTTAATTAATCAAACTAGTTCTTATGAATAATGTATCAGATTATTTTAAAAATTAAGTTTTTTACGGTTTTTACAGTGTGTAATTTACCATGGTCTACTCACTTTTATAACGTAACTGTTAAAACAATCCAGAGAGATGAGTGCGTCAGTTAGTAAGAAAAACTGAGGAAAAATGTAAGCATTTGTTTGAAGCTTATAATAAAAAGGGGATGGGGATAGAAGAATAAAAGCGTGAAACAATATTCAAGCTGAAGATATAAAAAAAGGTATCGAATCAATACATCTGCAACATTGTAACTTGTTTGAATCATGTTGTCTCGCGTCTTCGATGACTGGTCACAATAACAGCGTGCAGCTCAACCAAATCTACACTCACCAAGATGGAACAGATTGATAGTCCATGACTCCATGAAATGATATCACGTCTCAGTTTGCGTGCCACTAGCTTGTTTCGAATATACTCATACACCAACCAACAATACTTTTGGAAATAACGTGACGATTCAGTATGCGTAACATAGGTCTCAGCAACTTAAGTCAATGAAGATGCGAGCCTTATAATTTTGCTATCTTCACCTGGTACCCTACGTCTAAAATTACCATTATTTACTCGATTGTTTAATCAAGCACCGGCAATCCTTCAAAAATATCTGCGATTAAATACTAGTGACTTGCACATGTGCTCAAACTTCAAAGACTATGCTTCTAAGTCCTAAAGTAAAACAGAGCGAAAAGACGTGAATTAAATTTGTCGTTTGTGAAACATATGGTTATCTAAAGTCATGCTACAAGAAGAGCTAGAGAAAGCTACCTTTTACTAACGATGCTGAAACCTTGTTAGTACTTTCTAATAACCCTATCACGTTATCAATATGTTTAAATCTAGATAGCAAAAGAAAACTACATTTTATAATGGTGTAAACATCGAACGAATTATGAGTCAGTCAACATATCTCAACTATATTTATTTTGACACTCAACATTACTACTTTTAAAGTCAATATACATTGTGTCAATGATAATTCGATCCTGTATAAAATATATCAGAGAATATCACTAGTTATAATATTAACTCTCTTCCAATAATTTATCTCTCATTTGAACGATTTTTTTTATGTGAGACGATTAAGTGCATTGTTTCATAATCTCAGTTTAATTTCTGAAAAATACATCTTCAACTAAAAATATAAACAAAAACTTCGACTGAGCATGCTTTATCATTTCCCTGTTTAAATCAATTCAGTGTTGTTCTACATTAGCTTACCTCATTAAACTTGTCAACTACAGATGGACTTTGATCTGTTTCTAAGAGAGATTTCAGCTTTTCACATTCTTCTAATAATTCTAATCGTCTTTTATCCGATCTGAGAACCATTTCAAATGCGGGTGTAGAGTCAGCTACAACTTCTATAAAATAAATAACAAAAAAATCGTACTTTATGCACTGAGTTCTTTACAATTAAATACAAATGAGTACGTTAAAATCTGTACTATATTCTAGCAAAATAAAATAAATAATATGAGAAGTAAAAGACAGTACAGTTTATTCCAAACCATAAAGTTTTAAAGGTCCTCCAAAACATCTATGAGAGTTGCTTTTCTTATATATATGTACATATTTTCGTAAATTTTGACTTTGTATCTATCTAAGTAACAGCTGCTTACCATCACTACTTTTAATATTGTTAGCCCATCGTTTTTCGTACGTAAAATTCTGATCGTACTTTCAGGGAAACTATGGAAATATTTATAAATAATAACTTGACAGATGTTTTATCGTCGAATGGATCTTTAATACATTAAACTTGATACAGAATGCTTTGCTTTTAAATTTTTTATTAACTAGGGTGAAGAGATCATTATTTGTTTACTATCCAAAGTAGTTATCATTTCACACATATATATATATATATATATATATATATATATATATATTATATCAAACATACAGGTTTGTTCAACAGCTTTACAGCAATACTTTTGTGTGAAGATGTGATAATACATCTGACATCGGGGTATGGCCCTCTAAGAAAACCACCTTTTTCGGTTTGGGCGCCCGGACAGTATCCCAGCCCTCACACAAATTTAATAACAAAATGTGGTGCATATATATTTGGTACATCCTTGTATCAATATTTATGTGTTTAAGTAAGTTTAAACACTAAATCACCTTTTCTAGAAAAATTTGGTGAAAATTACTTAAGAGAAACATTTAACTGACGACAGAAATATTTTCAGAAAAAATAAATTGACTCGCACTTACCTTGTTCACAAAGAAGCACATCGATATTTGCAGGGATATTGATCGCTCGGGTAGCAATGTGGCGAAGTAATGTAGTTTTCCCATAGCTATATTCCCAATACAATTAAACAGTGAATAAATTATCATACTGTAAATTAAAACCAATAGTTCAACTAAGAATGATCATATCAAAACCTTTAGAAAATGTAAATAAATTGATATAATTGTAATACCTCAATGAATAGAAAAATTATCAAGTAAAACTTTGGTAATGATACCTACTTTAGAAAATGATTTGAATGAAAAATAACAACGAACTTTTGTTATTATATATTGAACTTTGACAGTTATCCATTTCTGCCTATAATACTCTTGACTTGATGGCAATATCGAGGCAATCCACACCAAATGCACATATGCCGAAAGAGACTGATCGATTGCAGTCTTAAACATCAATGGGAAGATCCAAGCAACTAATATATACGAACTAATTCGTAACTTTTGCCGTATACATTAACATGAACCATAAGCAACTCTGAATTCCAATAAACTTGATGGTAAATTTTTATAGATATACCACAAAAAACAAAACGTATACGGCATAAAATCATCTATACTTTTGCCAAACGAAGACCGTTGTTTTTGAATACACTTATTTCATGCCACGAATACCTGAATACTTTTGGTCTTGATAAGTATTTGAGTTAACATTTAAAAGTCAAGTGCCAACAATAACGAGACACTGTTACATGAGACACTACGTTTAAACCATAGAAGAACTATTACGTAGTTATGCAGCAGTACCGTAAACACCACATAAACACAAAGCAGTGGTAGGTATGAAAATAGAACACAGTGAAGAAATGTAAATTTGTTTCAGCACTACTGAGTCGTTTGTCTGGTATAAATTGATAAAACCAGCGAGAAATCTTAACAAGAAAATAACACAAGAATATATTTACTTACCCATTAGGCCCCACTAACCCATAACGACGGCCATGGGTAATTTGAAGGGATGCATTTACAAATAAATCCTTTCCTTTAGCGGCAATCGAGAAATTTTCAACTCGTATATCAAGCTGATTGTCCTGTTGTTCAGATTTTGTATTACCAGAAGCCTATAATTTGTAAATCAGAATGAGAACGGATTGAGATAAGGTCTGTAAATTGATATTGAAATGTATTACATAACGATAGGTTAACAATCTGAAACGCCAAAACAGACCATTAAAATAGATTAGACATAAAATATTAGTCTAGGTTTCTACACTACAGATCTTGGTGAAAATAGAACAGAAGTGTATCAGGATCGATTATCATAACCTTAGTAAGTAACTAAAAGAATGAAACATTAAATGAAGAGGGACAGTGACTAGAAATCGTGGGGAGAAATTACATGTTTACTTCTTATGACAAGCGAAAAAATGTATTTGTAGTCTATTTTGAGTTTTGTCATAATAAAATATTCAACAATCAGTAGTCTTACGGATTGGCAATCCACTCTTAAAACATAATTTAGTCGCCTAACTTGGTATGAATTCACTGTGCTGCTAACTGATTCGTTATATTCGCCTAGCATTTAGTATCAATATGACTACTCATCCGTCACGTTAAGTAGTTATGATGCTTTGAAGATGCCAACAATGAACCAGAGCTATGTACTCAGGTTTTTAAGTATACTATTTCTGATGATAATGGTCACCAGCCTTGGAATTTATCATGTCTTTCACATTTAAAGGTAATATATAACAAAAATGTAGGATAACACACCGTTTCGAAATCAACTTGATCTTTATGATGAATTTAAATACTTAGCCTTTATTATAAATTATTTGAAAAACAGCACAATTAACACAAATTAAACGTGGAAATCAATGGATCAAACAGATGAGTAGTACAAGTATGAAAAGGTATATTTTGAATTTCACTTACTTGCGAAAGTGCAAAGTTATCGAGTGTTCCAGAAGATGCGATAATTTTAGCTTTTGCATTTTCAACAAGTTTTTCAAACTCCTCTTTCTTTTTAAGCTTCTTCAGCTCCTTCTTTGATATCTTTGGTTTTACGGCATTAGCATCAATTTCCGTGACGCTTTCTTCAATTAAAGTTGGTTTAGAAGAGGTATCATCCTCCAATTCTATATCAGTAGTCGAACACTTGTTTGTCAGTGAATTAATATCATTATCAGTAGGTGGCTCTGATTCTGTAACGTCAATCTGGGGTTTACTATCTAAGGGGTCATCAGATATAATATGGACATTATCGGTTGTCTCTGGACTGTTTACTGTGGTATGATGATCAAGAGAAATTGCTGAAAACCCATCAAACTTAGTGATTTGAGGATTAAGATAATCTATTTCACTATCTAAAGAAACAACTGTCATAGCTTTGGCCAAACCATCAAGGTCTTCTTGTTCACTATCGAATCCATCGTCATGTTTCTTTTTTCCGGGTTTCTGCTTCTTTTTCTTACCAGTTGCATTTTGATTAGATAGTTCTTCATGTTCTGGTTTTTGTTTTTGTTTTCCACGACCGACCTTTCTTTTCTTTGTATAGAAGTCGTCATCAATCTCTTCAGGTTTTGTAGACTTCTCATCAAGTTCATAATCCATTTGTGGGGTTTCACGATTTGAATTCATTTTGGAATCACAAACTTCTGTTTTTTGTTGGATATCAGCATTTTGACCCATCTGTTCTGCATCAATCCCATTTAATTTACCTTTCTTTTTCCCCTGTTTTTTATTTGATGTCTTATTTGCATCCCCTTCGTCTTCAGAATCTGCGCGTTTAACAGTATTACGTCCCGCTTTTCTTTTCTTTTTGTAAAATTCGTCATCAACTTCATCTGATTTGAGAGATTCATTACTAGACTTATGACTTTCCATTCGCATTTGTGTGTCCCTTTGCTTTTCAACTATATCACTGACTAATTGTTCTTTCCCTTTCTTCTTTTTTTCCTTTTTCTTCGCAATAGAGTCGTCTGGAATTACTTTATCCTCTTCAGAATCCGAAGGAACATGGTTAGCAGCTTTCCCCTTATTTTTCTTATTCCCTGACTTTGTGTTTCTTTTCTCATTGTTATTAGTATCAGCTTTAATACTTTCATCCTCGGCATCTCTATTTTTCTTATTCCCCGACTTTGTGTTTTTTCTCTCGTTGTTGTTAGCATTAGCCCTAACACTTTCGTCTTCATCATCATCCTTATTTCTTATGTTTCTCTTTGGAGGCATCGTTCAAACAAATAGATGGATTGGCTACGGGTATGTAGTCTCCGAATTAGTTGGACTTGCTGTAGCCGTATTGCAGTTTTATCAGGAGAGTTCTACAAAAATGGAAGAAAATTAGGCGACATAATATTTCAGTAATACAATCTAGATCCTATGGTTGGGTAATTAAATAAATTATTTATTTTGAAGGAATATGGACCAAACTTTTGCTTCCTAGTACCTTGTTTTAATGATATAGATTTCTAACGTGAGATCAGGTTTCTAAAACACCAAACAGTAAACTTAAAAGGAACTAATGATAGTCATAAGAGGGATTAGGCTGGAAGACAGAAATGATTAACCAATAATCACGTCTAGTAATGTCTACCTTTAATCAAATAAAAAATTTGTAACATGCACATGTACAGTTGAAAAGCGGTGTAACTTGAAAAATATTTTTAAAAGCTGACCACATCATTTAAATTCTACTATGAACCTGTTTTAACTAAAAGGCGTGTTTAAGATAAAAGTTCTCACTTTTAAGGTTTACTCATCGTAAATAAAGAGTTGACTATAAAATATAACTAAAAGATATATTCAAAGTACTTCAAGCAATAGGGTTGGCCGTCATTTACCTAAATAGTAAATCAAAGCCTCAGAGGTCACATGCCTTTGAAATACTATGTACTGAGATTTTATCCATTTACTAATCGTCAAGGAAGCAGAGTAAGATCTCTGTTAATTCATATAAATCATTTCGATTTGAGGTTGATATATGGTCAGTCAATCAGCTACACTGTAGGACTAGGCACACATATGCATCGGTCCAAGTTGCCACACTCCATTAACACGATAAGATGGATACTAAATTCGTAGTAGTTACTTCATTGAATGTAATATATAAAAGAAGGATTGTGTATGAGGTTAATGTACAGTTAGAAAGAATTACTTCGTAGAAAAAAAGATTTAAAGCAATTTTAATGTCACGGTTTAAGGGAAGACAGAGAGTGTATACACCGACGCCATTGTGATCGATTCTGAACCATATCACCCAGAATCTCCAACCATTGGTTACGATAGTCACGCAGACCCCAACCAAGTAGTCTGCATTTACTAAAATGACTCAGACCAGACGTTAGTGACTTCAAGCACTAATGCAACGTTTTGGTCTGGCCTCCCCTAATTTTCTTCCAACATTTATCAGCATTGCGCGTCATGGTAATCGGTGTTCAGGCATGCGCAACACGTGACCCAACCATCTCAGTCGATGAAGGTTCACAACTGATTTACCATCATCCCCTAATACTCTGCGCCTAACCTCACTATTATCCGGTGATTCCGACAGGTGCGAGCATAATTTCTAAGACATCTGAGATCATATACTAGTAACTTGCGAGTGTCTTCTACTCGTAATGGCCACGTTTCGCATCCTTGAAGTAGAACAGAACGAACGACCGTGCAGTATACTCGACCCTTAATTGATAGACGGATATCTCACCTTCGCCATAGGTGACATAAGTTGGCAAAAGTCGAACGAGCTTTCTGAACCCGTGCAGAGGCTTCGTCTGACACCAACCTATTAGGGTTGATCAGACTTCCAAGATAAGTGAAGTTGTCAACGCGTTCAACTACTTCAATCCCTATCTTTAGTTCAGGAGTTGACGCAGCCCATTTAGAGGGGCGGAAGCGCATTCCAAACATTCTGGCATTGTTGCTTAGTGCTACCAAAAGACTGAATTTTATCAGCGTCTTCACCAAACAGGACTATGTCATCTGCGTATTCTGAATCAATAAGTATAGCTTTTGATAGATCAATGCTCGAAAATTCAGTCGACGAGAACGTTATTACCAGCAGTAGGTCTATCGTGAAATTAAACAAAAGTGGAGATAGTGGACAGCCTTGATGGACACTACTTGAGGTTGCGAAATCAGATGACAGTTCGCCATAAGCTCTGACTCGACTGGTGGTGTTCGAGTAAACGGCCTTCACAAGGTTTATGTACTTCTGAGGTACACTTCTCGATGACAGACATTGCCACAGAATCTCTCGGTCTAAAGAGTCAAATGCTGCTTTTAAGTCAAGAAAGACCACCATTGTCGGACGCCGATAAGTATGCCTATGTTCTAGAACCTGACGAATGGTGAATATGTGGTCGATGCAGCCACGACCAGGTCTGAAGCCAGCTTGGTTCTCTCGTGTTTGCAGTTCACGAGTCTTAGTTAGGCGTCTGATAATTATCGAGGCTAGTATTTTAGATAGTATATTAGTCAAACTAGTCCCTCTATGGTTATCACAGGATGATTTTGACCCCTTCTTATATATTGGGACAATCAGTAATTGCGACCAGTCAGGTGGGGTTACGTCCAACTCCCAGATTTTAGCTAAAATATTAGTCAACGTAATCGCTAACATTGGATATGATATATAGATAGATAAATGACTAGTAGAGGCAAGTGGTTTTTTTACTGTCTCTACGTTACAAGTGTAAAACATACCGCACTGAAGTTGGAGTCCTGATTGGTTATCATCACTTGAGTCCTTATAAAACCGACGTTCATGTTTTATTTTGTAGACCTGTAATCATCCTGATTAGAAATATGTTGATTACGTTTATAACTATTAATTCGTGATTGTAATTAAAGTGGTAAATGCGGTGTATGGATGTCTGAGTTTTCTATCATGAACCTGAAGACTAAATCAAGAAGTAGTAATTACTAAAAGCTAGTTATATAAGTGAAGTAACCTTAATTCCTCTAGAACCACTGTATACAAAGTATGTTTTGAGACTTTCTTTAAAGAAGCCAACATGCGAAACCGATAGAATCATTTCAGAAACTGGATTTCTGGATTACTGCAAGTGCCAACAACAATCTACACGACCCTGTCGATGCCTCAGTAAGTCGCAACGTAGAAGCTGTACGTCTGTAAGTCAGTTCAAGTTGTCATACACCATTAGCATAGAGATGAAATTGTCAACCCAAATCCCAGAATAGTAGAGGTAGTAACCGTATCAAGGGTAAAGGGAAAGACTAAGCATCGAAAATACAGTTCGAGAAAGTATAAGTTATTGAGACAAAGACATATATGACCGAATACTAGTAATCCACAAATATCCTCTACTCCTAATGGCCATGTTCCACACCCAGTGAACAGAGTGAGCTGTTGAGCAGGAAACTCGTCCTTTGATAGGCAGACGGATATTTCCTCTACGCTAAAAGCGACACAAGTTGCCAAAAGTCAATCGAGCCTTCTGAATCCGTCCCGAGATTTTGTCAGACACCAGTCCATTAGTACTGAAGAGACTTAGGATAAGTAGTCGATGCGTCCAACTACTTCGCTCCTTACCATTAATTAAGGTGATGACACAAGCAAAACCCGAAGCAACATTTTACATTTGCAGGGAGAGAACCACATCCCAAACATGCTTGCAATGTTACTTAATGTGATCAGAAGACTGCACTTCGTCAGCGTCTTCAACAATCAGAACTATATCATTTGCGTATTCTAAGTCAACAAGCGAATTTCCTGGTAGATGACCAATGCCTGAAAAGTCAAACGATGAAAGTGTTATCTATAAAAGCATCCCTATGGAAAAGTTAAATAAAAATGGTGAAAGTGAACAACCTTGAAGTAACCAATTACGACGACAGTTTTTCATCAGCTATCACTCGATCAGTAGTGTTCGAGTAGAGAGACTGTAAAAGGTTCATGTACTTCTTTGGGATACCTCTCAATGACAGACACTGTCACAGAACTTCACAATTAACGGAGTCGAACGCCACCTTAAGGTCAAGGAGTACAACTATAGTCAGACGTCTATGATGTCTATGATCCAGGGCCCGTCAAAGGGTGAATATTTTGTCTATACATTCACGTCTAGGTCTGAAACCTGCCTGATCTTCTCGGATTTGCTCTTCACGGGATCTGGTCAGACGTCGAAGTATTATTGAGAGTAATATTTTAGACACAATATTAGTTAAACTAATTCTTCTGTGATTTTCACAAGAGGATTTCTGCTCTTTCCTATAGACTGGGACGATCAGTGATCGAGACCAGTCAGATGGAACTACATTCAGTTCCCAGATTTTAGTCACTGTCAGGGAAGTCCTACTCATTACCTTCTCGTGGTGGGGGTGTTGTTTACGAAGTTGAGAGGACGAAAAGCGAATGTTTGGCACTCTAACCGAGTTGGTTGGTGGATATGGAGGATTCACCTAGAGGAGTTGGAAAACCCTGATTTTAAACCAATGGTGCAAAAGGACTACAGGATCCTGAGGGGACAAATGGCGTATGAATCAATTATTGGTCATCGGCTACTATGGGACTGCATCTCTTTACGTTGCTTTACTGCCTTGTGGATCAGACATTTATGTCGAAAACTCCGGGTGTGGCCACCTAAGGAAACCACCTGTTTCGGTCTGGACACACGGGTAGTATCACAGCCTACACACAAATCAAGTGACTTGTGTATTCGGCACCCCTTTGTGCCAATGTTTATGTTCAAATAAATAAATAAGACCTCAGTTAATATAACTGCTAAAACTGGACTAACATCCTTAAGAAGGCCAGTTGAACTTTTTCATAAAGGTTCTTGTCCATCGGTTTAATCTCTTGGATTGAGGGAATAACAGTCCCATCTTTTTTCGAAATAGTTTCACTAACAGCCGGGTTTTTAGTAGCCGTTACCTTGATAAGTCTGAACAGATGTCTATTGTTACCTATCGCTGCTGCATTTTCCATATCCAATTTCGCCACCTATCGCTGCTCACGATTATTACGTAGACTTTATCAGCCTACGTTTAAGTTGCCTCCGCTTCTCACTGTGTTCAGAGTCAGACGAGATAGGTTTCCGAGCATCTATCAGTGCTATAGAGGCCGCTGAAACCCACTGATTTTTCTTAACCTTTTGGTTTAAGTTGCTAGCATATATCACTGCTGTTTCTACAGCTTTTTACATATCATACCAAACTACCTCGGGATGAATGTCACTTTCACCTGAAATATATTCTTAACTTGTTAACTA